CGGCCCCAGAGCCGGCTCGCAGGGCGCCAGGGAGCCTGCCCTCGCGTCCGCGGCGCCCGGACCCCGCCAGGGCCAAGCTGGCCACTGGTTTGCCCCTTTCTCCTTGTAATTATTTCTTCTGGTTGCGCTGGGTGGGTATGAATTACGGACCCAGGGGACGTTTGAGATCTGCAGGGACCTGTCTGGCAGCTGCTTGAGCCCCATGCCCCCCATGGCCGGGGCACAGAATTGAAGGCCTGCCCAGCTCCGGGTGTCCCCAAAATGGGCCAGGCGGACAGCCGCTGCAGCTCCCAGGCCCTGGTGGCCAGGCCCCAGCGCCCACCTCCGGGGCTCAGCTGGCCTCCGGGATAAAGACCTGCTGCAGAGGCGGCCGGGCCGGGAGCGGCTGGCACGGCCAGGCTGAATGCCACCGGCCCGCTCGGCTGACCTGCCCACTAGGGCACCTAGCGGTCCCCATGCCCAGGAAGGAGGGTCAGAACGGAGCCCCCGCACCCCTTCTGGGAGAATGGCCCTCTGGTTCCTGGCTGCTGCGGGGGAGGGGCTGCGGGCTGGAGGGGCTGCGTGTGGGAAGGACGTGTGCAGCCTGGCACTGTCTCCCCTGCATCCTGCGGCTGGGGGGCCCGGTGCCGGTCCCTGCCCCCACAGGCTGAGCAGAGGTGGCCTCCTGCCTGGCCGCCTGGGGGGAGGGCTGCCAGAGCTGCAGGTCCCTCCCGGGGCTGTCCCTGCCTGTGCCCCCGAGCCAGCGGGCACCCCGGAACGTGCCGGGCTGGGAGCTCACCCTGCGTCCTGCTTGTATCCTCCTGCCCCCCTCGGCCTGGGGCCAGAGGCTACCTCGGGACAGTGAGTCTCCGCAGACAGGCAGCTGCTGAAGTTGTTTCTGCCCCAGAACCGTGCCTGGGCCATCTCCCCCCTGGCCAGGGCTGTGTGGGGCCTGGAGGTCTCACCTGGACGGGCACCACCGCCCGGGCGGCCAGAGCTGAGGGCCCGGCGCGTCCCCTGTGTATGTGGCCAGGGAGGCCAGCCCCGCCGGGCGCACGCCTGCAGGGCAGTGGGCTAGGGCAGGAGGCAAGCAGGGAGCCAGCCCTCGGGGGAGCCGGCCCTCGGGGGCCCCACCCTCCCACCCTCCTCCTGGCTCAGCCAACCCTGGGGCTACCGGGCTCACCCCACCGCCTCCCAGGTGCAGGCCCTCCTGCTCTGCTGACCCTGCCTTCAGCCCAGCGGGGGGCGAGGGGCACTGTGGGCCTTATCCCATGTCCCCCAGAGCGGAGAGGGGGCAGCGTGAGGCCCCTTGGGGTCCCTGAGGAGGAGAGTGAAGGGACGGGGCAGGGCCGTGCGGGCACTCAGCTGCCTCCCTGGGTCAGCTGAGGCGGGCCCCTCCTCTGGTAGGGCCCCGGGCAGGCGCTGCAGGCCACCAGCCCTGTCCTGGGTGCTGGGCAGGGCGCTGGCGGCACCGCGGTCAGCACCGTGGTCAGCATGGCTGCTCCTAGGTGCACCTGGGCCCGGGCACAGGACGCCCCAGGAGCGGCGCAGCCAGGACAGGCGCCTGCCAGGAGACTGCCGATGTGGGGACCCTGCGGGGTCCCTTGCTAAGGGGTGTGTCCAGCCACACCTCACCTACCTGGGAAGGGGGCTACCCAGTGGGCAGGAAGGGCCTCCTGCCTTCAGGGGGAACCACTGTCCCCAGCGGCCGGGCTTGTGTGGGGTCCCGGGTGAGCCCGCACTCCTCCCCGCCCCCAGGGCGGGGTCCGAGCCCCTCCTCTGCCCGCTGTGTGCATCTGGCCACTCCAGGGTCAGGGCTGCCCCGCGCACCCCGCCGGCCATGTGGGGCCCAGCTCTGCAGCATCTTCAGGAGGTAGGACGGGCGGTCCCTGGCCCGGGCTTGAGGTCCAAGCAGCCGGGGAGTAGGGACAGGGCTCTGGCTGGACCTTGGCCAGAAGGAAGCTCCCGCCCCGAGGCGTGAGGCAGCGCAGGGCTGAGCGGCCTGTGGGATCCCGCACCTGGCCGGCGCGGCCTCCTGCGCCAGCTGGGTCATCCCTGCTCCTGGGCACCTGCAGGGGCGGGCGGGCGGGCGGGGGATCCTGCAGCAGCGCTGGCTGCCGCAGCGGTTGCCTGGCACCTCTGCTGTTGCCATGGCGACCGGGAGGCGCCAACTTGCTAATGAGTCCCCCTGGCTGCAAATAACAATACCGCGGTGGCTAATGGGCACACCAGAGGGCTCCTCCGAGGCCAGGCGGCTGGGCGGGGACC